TTTTTTACCTCAATAATTAATTTGGATAATATTTTCGGATAAGATTTTCGGGTTCCTACGTGTCAATACTATTCATATCTCATAATCGGATAAAATTTTCAATTTCAAATTTCAGATAAATTAAAAAAAAAAGGCTGGTATTTATAGAAAAAAATTCATTAATTTTTGGGTATTTTTTAAAAAAATTTCCGAATTTTTTCCAGTATTTTATGGCAAAAAAATTGGCTGCCGTTGGATTGGAGGAAAAAATCAGATCGGAGAGCCCAGACGACGCCACGTGGCAACAGGAAAAAAAATCAAATCAGCGAGGTACTGTAGCGATACTGTAGCGGGGTACTGTAGCAGTACTGTAGCGCTACAGTCCCCCCCTCGTTTTGGACCTCGGGTAAGACTTGCCTTCGGGCCAGCCCGAGGAGGTGGGTCCCACACCCCCCCGGGCCTGGGCTGCTCCGCTGGAACTCCATTTTTTTTTTCCCCCTAGCCTTGGGCTGGGCTGCAGCGGTGGAACCACTCTAACACCATTGCTATCGATAGTTTTAGGGAGCTGATTTCCCACTCATCCTTAGTCTATTTACACTCCATTGTACGTTATAGTAAAAGTATTAAAAAAACAAAATGGATGATCCCATTCATTTTCATCCCCTAGTTGGAGTAATTATTGAATGCAGGCATATGATGGCGCAAATTGGTCAGTATAGGATTCATCATATCTATCGTGAGAAAAACTGTGTTGCAGATTGCTTGGCTAATGGGAGCTTCAATGGAGATCTGGGCATTTGTACTTATAATGTTGCTTGTATTTGGATAGCTTCCTTGTTAGCCGATGGTGTGTTAAGGGTGTCTAGAACTCATTTGATTTGTTCTCGTTCTGTTTAGCTTGTTTTTTGGGGTGTTAACCCCCCCCTTCTTCACTTAAAAAAAAAAAAACAAAGGATAGTGGAAAAATCAGCGCCCTAGTTTTATTGAATAATTAAGTAAGCAACTAGCTACAACTAGCTACTAATATGTTGATATTTTGATTTTTGGAAGGGGATGCTAGAGGAACCATACTAGGTAATTATATAATGCGATTATTGATTTGTATTTGTTATATGTTCTACTAAGAGGTTATTTTTGTTATGTTAATGTGTATTTGCTTATGTCAATTGAGTTCTTAATTTGCAAGATGTGTGATTAGTAATATGATCATTATATGCGATTTACATAAACCATTCCTTAATGATTTGTTGATTCATCAACTCCCATATATAATATTTTGAGAACAAATTACCCAAATTGGCAAATAGCAAAGATAAAAGAAAAACGAAAGTTTCCAAGTGAATTTTGCATCCCACAAATCTCAGCTCCCATCTCAAACAACCCCCAAAAATCTCAGCTTTCAGCTTCCCACAACTTGGAACTTCAGCTCGCCTAAAATTTAACATTCACCGACTGTAAAACCCCAATCATCTTCTAGCAATATGTAAAAGAGCTTGCTTACACAAGTTTAGAGAAAGCATGAAATCATATCAAGGGAATGCTTGCTCTATGCAATGTGTGTGTGTGTATATATATATATATATATATATATATCTATCAATCAATCAACTTGAGTCACTGACAGTAAAACTTCTATCAACAGCATAATCCACAAAGCTGTAAAGTGGCACCACAGCATCACCATACTTCTCAAATCCATCCAATTCCTGCTTAGCTTTGGCTCTAAGCTGCTCTGCCACCTCCATAGCCTTCTCAACCCCATAAACTCTCACATAGCTGAAGCCTTTCTTCTTCTTCCGCTCATCCTCATCCTCACCATTCATTTTGTCCTCCAAAATATCATCAACCACCCGATACAAAACCCCAACAGCTCTGCCATACCTCCTCAGTCTATCCACATCATCATCTTCAGCACCACCTAGCAATCCTCCACAAACAGCAGAACACTGACTCATCTCCCCAAACTTCTTCTCCTGCGCGAATTCGATAGCATCCGGCCCGCCTTCCAGGTCGAGGAACTGCCCTGCCGCCATGCCCGTGGACCCCACGGTGCGCGCAATCTCTGTGATCACGCGCAGGAGGCGTGGCTCGGGCACGAGGCTGGAAGGCGTGTTTGCCACAATGTGCTGAAACCCCAATGGAAACAGAGCATCACCAGCTAGAATTGCCAGATCGTCGCCATAGACTGTATGGTTCGAGGGCTGGCCCCGGCGTGATGGGTCGTCATCCATGCATGGAAGATCATCGTGAATGAGTGAAGCTGCGTGTACCTGTCAATTGTCATTCAAAGCAAATAAAGCACTTTCCTTTGTCAATATTCCAAGCACAAAACAAATATACCCATGTTGAAAGCTAAGCAAAAATGTGCTCAATAAGCACGACCCAAATTGCCAAACAGGGCACAAAGCACGAATACAGATTTTTCTAAAAACCCAAGCTGGGTTCCGAACTGAGAATCCAATTTATGCAATAATATTCATATAACCCAAACAGGGTTCTTTACAATTCAGTCTAATGAGTCCATGTATAGCAAAAGGAGGAAGAATTACGAACCATTTCAAGAGCACAGGCTGTGGGGAAGGCAGCTACGCGGTTGCCGCCGAAGAGCTCACAAGCAGCGACGCACATGACCGGTGAGGCTCGTTTGGCTCCTTCGGCGAGCACAGAGTATCGCATGGATTCATAGATCTGATCTGGGTACCGAACCGGGACGGCTTCGTGAAGCTTCTGATTGATATCGGCTATCAGGGTCGTCCAGTAGGTTTTCAGATCGAACTGGGTCCAGCTCGGTGGGGTCGAAACGGACGGCGCTGATGAAGAAGAAGAGCATCGGATTGGGAAAGTAAGCTTCTTTGGGAGGTAGAGATGGACTGGAGTTGAAACCATTGAGAAAGAAGCCATTTTTAGTCTCGGAAGCTCTCAGCTGAGCTCTGGTAGCAGAAGATTTTTTTTTTTTTGGGGTAAATGTAGTGGAAGAAGATGAGATTTTGGATATAATTGAGTGCTATAGGAACTAAAGTATATATGGTGGTCCAACCCCCCTGCCTCATTACAATTGGTTCTTTATAATTCATTGTGTCCAAATTACCATCGGTAAAACAATTATTTACAGTAACGACCCATCTTAAAGAACCTTCAACACTTCGCCATTTCCTCTAACTCCCTCCCTCTTTTTTTATTTTTTGGTCGAAACTCCCTCCCTCTGATATCTGTTTCTCTCAAACCAATGGCGTCCGTACGATTCCGTACGCTCCTCCTGGTCTCGGCGGCGTTGAGGGTGATTCTGATCCTCTACGGAGAGTGGCAGGATACCCACATGGAGGTGAGGTACACTGACATTGATTACATGGTCTTCTCCGACGCTGCTTCTCTAATGGCCGCCGGTAAATCCCCATTTGCAAGATCCACTTACAGGTACTCTCCTCTGCTCGCGTTTTTGCTCATACCCAATTCGTTTCTTCACCGCTCTTGGGGCAAGTTCCTCTTCTCAGCTGCAGGTACGTTAATATTTGCTTCATTTTAGCGTTAAATTTTGTGTTTTGGGGTGCATGAGTTGCAGAAACATGATTTTGTTTTATGTAAATTTTGTAGATTTGCTTGTGGGTTTGTTTATAAGGACCATATTGAAGCTTCGTGGGGTGCCTGAGAATTTAAGCATGCTTTCTGTGATCGTTTGGCTCTTTAATCCGTTTACCTTTACCATTGGGACTCGTGGGAACTGTGAGCCAATTGTTTGTGCTTTGGTTCTTTGGGTCTTCATATGTCTCATGAACGGTGTAAGTTTCTTTCTTTGTATAGATTTTTATTTTTATTTTGGCAATAAACACTTCCCAAAAATCTATACACTGGCTGGACACTCACAAGACTCATGTCATGTACACCACTTCCCCTACTTGCTGTTGATTTCAGCCATTAAGTGAATCTTATCTTCGGATTATCTTAATATGGATCAAATTTAATGCTTTTTGCGAAAATGGAATTATGGGATACTTGTATAAATCTTAGCACAGATTATCAAAAGTGAAGGACTATCGGATTGTTTGAGGTTCTTTTATATTTATTTCTATTCAGTGAGAGTTATTGGTTGCGTTATGTATCGAACTAGCATTCTCTTGGATTTTCTGTAATGATTGTCTGACCTTCTCTCAGTTCGTTTTCTCTTGAGGCAACCACGTTAGACATCTACAACCATAGCAGTGTCTATTTTGGATAATAACATTTATGATTTCAATATTCCTCATCTTCATCCTATTAAAAATTATTGCTTTGCATTTAGCGAGTACGATCTTTCTAGGAAAAACCAAGTAGGCATAGCATTCCACTAAGTACGGTACTCAAACTATTTATTTATGAAATGATTGTTATGCTTTCCCCCTTAACTGTCTAACTCCATATGGAAATTTTTCTCTCATAACAGGACGCGTGTTACAAGCTGCATTTTGGTACGGGCTTGTTGTCCACTTCAGAATCTACCCCATTATCTATGCACTTCCTATCCTTGTGATTCTTGATCCGCATGTGTTTCGATCTGGTCAGAAGCCTAGCCTACAATTTTGGGATCCTCGGCAAGAATCACCTCAAAACAGATCTGTTACAAGACTTGCTCAGCTTCTTTGTCCGTGGTTTCTTTTGAAAAGTGCGTTAACACGTGAAAGGATAGTTTTCTCCTTTATATCTGCAGCCGTATTCTTCCTTTTCACTGGTTTATTCTATCATCTATATGGGTGGGAGTTCTTGTATGAGGCACTGCTGTATCATCTTACCCGTACTGATCCAAGGCATAATTTCTCCATTTATTTTTATCACATCTACCTTCAGTACAACCGTAAACTCTCGATATTGGAGAAGCTTGTCTCATTTTTGCCTCAGTTGATAGTCCAGGTTGTGCTTGTTTTGAGTTTTGCGCAAGACCTTCCATTCTGCTGCTTAGTGCAGACAGTAGCATTTGTGGCATTCAACAAGGTTTTTCTCTTTATTACTATTTTTTCTTCTATAATTGCTGGCTTAGTGAATTAGTTACATATCTGATTCAACATTGTAATTTGGCTCTGCTCCATGTAGCATCCGATGTCAGATTCCTAGTGGTTATTCTCATTGAAAAACTCTGCTTCAATGCTGTACTTTTGAACGTAAGGTTTCTAACAAAATTCTGCTCCTAATTACTTCTGCCCATTGTTAACAGGTAATGACGGCACAATACTTTGTGTGGTTCTTTTGTCTCTTGCCTCTGGTACTCGCTTGGAGCAAGATGAAGCTCAAATGGAAAGGCCTATCATGCATGACATTGTGGGTGGCTGGTCAACTTCATTGGTTGATGTGGGGTTATTTGCTTGAGTTCAAGGGACGGAATGTTTTTCTTCAACTCTGGATGGCAAGCATCTTGTTCTTAGCTGCAAACACGTATGTTTTAGTTTCGCTCATCCGCGACCACAGATTTTCTCCAGTTTTCACATGTTTGGAGAAAACTTCCAAGGGCGGGAAGAAACTTCAGTGACAGAATAATTAGATTGATTTGGAGGTTTACATATAAGTTGACAATTTAATATTTCTTTCCTTTATTCCCACTGTTTTTGGCAATTAGATATGCACAAATTGGCTATTTATTTATTGGCTTGCAGCTCTTTTTTCTTTTCTGTTCATTTTGGTGATTCCAGAACAAGTTTTAGGCCTTTCTGTAAGATAATGATTATAATTGGCTATTTCTTTTCAGAATATATACAGATTATTACGCAACGGAAATAGAGAATCAAATTTCCTTTGTAATTGTGTGATCAACCAAACTGGCTGCTCGTGTAAAAGAATTTTTCATTTCATTTATTTATACTGCTAAATTCAATCACACCAAACAAAATTGGAAATTTGCTTCATATCTTTTGACCATGAAATTTAGACTACGCTTTAGACAGGGGCCGCGCGAACGCAGGCCCCCACTGGCACAAATTATGACGTTGGCTCTCCCACTAGGGGAGACCATAGGGTAGCACCCCTCCTCAGTGCAATGGAGGTCACTATCCTAGGCCATGGGCCTTCCTGAGCACCCAAAAACCCCGTCCAGGTAAGTATGTTTCAATGAGTTTGGTCGACTTGTTTTATAGAGGCCTCGCATTCCAACTCTCTTATGTTTTTTCGATATGGGACAAAACTAAAACAGACTAAAATCCACCTAGACAAGAACAGCCTCTTTCAGTCTTTGAACAATTATGAAATATGGGTTGTATTGCAGTTTGACACAGCTATCCTTGTTCTTTATCTAGCAGGCCAGAAAGGTATTCAATTGGGTTAATTTCTATGCTGTGCCATATATTGAAAATTTGTTACTGTTATTTGGCGACCACCAAATTTATCAACTTCATAGCAGCAGCTTGAGCAAATCTACAACTTCAGCAATGCCCTCTGGCCTCTGAACATTGCATGCTATACAGAAAACCTTGAAATTTTATCATTGGAACAAAGATCAAATTTGGATATGAATGTAGTTTTCTTATTTTGTATTTATACAAACAATAGTATAAATTAATCTAATATATGGGGAGGAGGACTCAAATTTGAGTGCAAAAGTATGTGCTCACTGTCTTAGTTGACTGGCCTAACTCACGCACTGGATGTGCTGTTTTGTTGAACATATGATGTTTTACTGAAGCTTTAAAACCAAATCCAAGGGATTGCTCGAAAGCTAAGGCTGATTTTAAGCCTTGGCTTATGAGCAATCTTTGTTCTCCAGTCAAATGGTATGGTTGTTTCCCTTGGATTGATGTGTTCGTGTTTACTTTCTGGTACTTAAGGAAATGGAGAAATCAACATATTTTTAGTGGTGATGATAGCCTACCTTTACACCCATGTCAAGTTGTTGCTGCAGTTCTTGAGTGGATCAAAGCTATTGCTGGGACTAAAGGAAATTAAGGTGCAGCAGGTTATGTCCTGGGAACCTCTTCCTTCTGATTGGTTTAAATTAATTGTTGATGGCTCTAGAAGGGGTATGTCTGGTGCTATTGGGGCTTGGGGGTTTGATTCGAGACTGTTCGGATTTGGCATGGCAGTTTTGTGGTTAATCTGGGGTAGGGTCACCCAGATTTTAGAAGCAGAGCTTGGGGATTATTCTTCGGCCTTATTCTTAAATTTCCGTACTTTTTGTTGATCGTATAGCATATAATATTCACTGCTAGACATAATTATAAATAATACAATTTTCTTATGTATAATCATAAATTTAATGTCAATTTTAGTCCTATAAATTTGCATAATTATAAGTCAACAAAATTTAATACATTTTAAATACGGGTGTTTCTAGCTAAAAACATAAACAAAAAATACAACTAAATTATAATTTTGTCGATAATAAAAATAAATAATTTTAAACTAAACATAGCCATTTGCTGAAGAGACTGAATCCAAACCTTTTGGATGTTGAGAGTGACAAATGTTAACCAATGCATCCATCCGCAAGGAAATTTACCTCCATAACCAAGGTTGGAAAGAGGGAAATAAACTTGGCAACCAAATGTTCAATATCTTGAGACTATATTTATAGGGCCTTACCCCGAAGAGAGAGCCCTTACAGAAATTCTCATGGGCACATGGCTGTACCAAGGCCCAAGAGGGGGTTTGGAAATAGTTTTCAACCAGCAATAGACGCGCCTCGGTTAGAACCTCATAAGCTGCGTCATTGCCCCAAGCGCAAAGATACTACTTCCGAAAGTTTTGGCGTGCTTTTATAATACTAGAGCAACTCAGCCTTTCTCACCACGTCGATGTGGGACAACAAGCAGCCATGATCCAATTGCAAGACATATGACAAGTGGAACCAGAGTTGAAAGACAAAATTAGCATTTCGAATCTTTAAAATATGGCAACCTAATTTGGGCCATGATGCAAAGGACCTACTAGTGTAGTGGTTTGAAGTGTTTATTCCCTCAGACAATATTCTGGATTCGAGTTCTAACATTCATATAGTGTGTGTGAGTTTAGTATACTATCGTCTCTCTCAATAGGAAAAGTCATCTAAAAAAAAAAGAAAAAAGGCCATGATTTAAAGGATGCAACAGATTCCATTTCAAATCTTTTATAGTGAGAAGCCATCTTAAAGAAGACGTAAAACTCACGAATGACAAGTTATGTAAAATGATATATAAGCTTGTAAACAGATCAGATTCATATCATATTCAGATTATCAAAATGAACTTATATCATTTCTTATAAAAAAAAATTAAATTTGGATTAGATTGAATTATTATCAGTATCATTTTAAGACTTAGAAAAAAAGTACTAAAATATGGGTGAGCAATATGAATATTAAATTTAATAGCGTAACATTGTGGGTTGGTTTGTCGGTCAACTTCACTGATTGATGTGGGAGTTATTTTGTTCTTAGCTGCAAACACGTTTTCACTTGAAATGCCAAGCATTTAGCACTCCTCGTATACAATATTTGGTTTAAACAGACAATAAAATACTAAAACTTCATTAAATTTATTTGAAAATATTAATCATGAACTCAAACATTGGGGATTGAATACGTAAATACAATATAAATTGCGTAATGGTGAATTTAATAATTGGTAAAAATTCATGTTCATAAAATTTCCACTTTTATTTATGTAGTTTAAATTTTGACAATTTAATCACACAATAACGGGCTGTATTTTTTTTAATGAGGAAAATAAAATTACAAAGCAAAAATATTTTGGACACGCATGCCCAAATTTTTTTTTAAAAAAAAGCATTTGAAAAAGACAATGGCAACCAAGATTCCCAACCTAGATGGAGAAAGCTTGTGACCTAGGCCCATAAGCTAGTTCGCCGTGAAGTTAGCTTCTTAAGAGCACTTTCAGCAGTTTGCCTTTTGATATAGCAAAGAAGGAGCTAGGGTAGCCACTATTCATGTGAATAAAACAATGTATGTTTTCACCAGTTGCCATAGTAAAGGGTAAATACTATTCATTTTTTTTTTCACATTTTTTTTCCTAAACAATTAATTTGGATAATATTTTCGGATTAGATTTTTGGGTTTGTACATGTCAATCTTTATTATAAAATTCATATCTCATAATCGGAAAAAAAAAAAACTTGAAAGTGAAAAAAATATTAAATAGAAAGTGAATAATAGTTGAAGGAGACGAAAATGTATGAGGATTTGGTGTTAAAAGTGAAGAGTATTGGTTGGTATTTATAAAAAAAAAATTATTAATTTTTGAGGTTTTTTAAAAAAAAATTCAAATTTTTTTCATTATTTTATTGCACAAAAATTCGATGTCGTTGGATTGAAGGAAAAAAATCCAATCGGAGAGCCCAAACGATGCCACGTGGCTACTGGCTATGGGCGGCACTGTAGCATGCTGACGTCATTCAAAATTCAAGCTCCAAGTCGGGCTAGCCTCTATTGCTGGAATCGTTTTTCTGGCCCAAACCCCCGCCAGCCCGCCCCCCAGCCTTGCTGCTGGAATTGCCCTAAAGATGTGTTGAAATTGCAGAGACTCACAAAGTGAACTGAGGTGGCCGAATGTCTTGGATTAGAAGAGAGACACCAGGGATTCGAAGAGCAAACCACTCAGTATTTTTGACAGAATTAGATAGAAATAAGGATGTCCTTGAATTAAATTACGATAGAACAAAACTTCAAATATTAAATTGACTGGACCAAAATAGAAAAACCAGCAAACTACAGGCACCTGACTTTTTTCCGTAATAACCCTAGAATCATGGGACTATATTTATAGGGCCTTACTCCGAAGAGAGAGCCCTTCCAGAAATTCTCAAGGGCACATGGCTGAACCAAGGCCCAAGAGGGGGTTTGGAAATAGTTTTCAACCAGCAATAGACGCGCCTCGGTTAGAACCTCATAAGCTGCGTCATTGCCCCAAGCGCAAAGATACCTCAACTTTGGGCTTCCGCTCGCTTTTATCCCACTACAGCAACTCAGCCCTTTCCGCTCCGTCAATGTGGGACTACAACTTCTTCTTTTACAATTGTATCCAATTGCGGGACAGATGACAAGTGAACCCAGATAATTGAAAGACAATATAAAATACAAAAAAGACATTGGGGGGCTGTGGACTTGGATGCTTTGAAGTTCACATGTATGCACATCTTAAAAAACCGAAGTATTTTATTGCACGAAAAACATGCTTATATCCAAAGATATAGCAGCCACAACACGTTGCACACATTTTATTGCAATTTTAAGAGCTGAGCAATACAATAAAACACTAATTTGAGAATACCAATCCACATCCTTAGTTAACTTTGTTCGATAATTTTAAGGAAAAGCTTGGATAACAGATTGGACAGCATGAATGGGAGTAATAGTGTGTCGGCTAAAGCCAGCCTCACCAAGAACATATCCCCATTCTTTCAGGGTCCTTTCTTTGCCTGTGTTTGTATGGGCCATCATCACCATATCTAGCATCAATCTCACATCTGTTAGCTTCTTGTCTTGTTTTTCATTGTCTTCTTCAATTACAGCTTCTACTATTATCACCTTCCCTTTGTCCTCCGGAATAGCTTCCCTGCACTTCTTAAGGATACGGATGCACTCATCGTCTCCCCAGTCATGAAGAACCCACTGCAATTCACAAAAACGACATCAAATCGGACCATTTATCATAATGTGTCTTGTTGAGCAAGAAAACTTCTAGCAATACAATAAGGGGAGTAATTCTAGAGGAACCACACTTTTTTTAGTTACATTAGCAAACCACATGATGTGACAGTTGATGTGTCAATTAACTTATGATTTGAATAACAATCAATGTAATAACTACACGTTAAAAGACACATTATGTGACAGTTTATTGTTCTATCATTTTTGTAGCTTTGCTTTTGCTGGACTCTGTCTGGTTTTTCTTTTGCAATGAATGAGATTTCGACCCCAAAAAAAAGGAGGTCACAAGATATGTTCCCTAGATCTAACAATATTCATATTTGGATTGTGAGGTTTCCTTGAGTATTAAGTAAGAGTATCACATATATACTAATTACCATGATAATTGCAGCATCAGCCTTTGGAACACAATCAAACATGTCACCCCCAACATTCTCAATGCGATCACACTCTTGAGCAACAGACACAACATGAGGAAGATCAAAATTGACGCCTCGAATCCAAGGGCACTCCTCGACCAACAAGCGCAAAGTAGTCCCGTCACCCCCACCCACATCTACAATTGTCTCGAGCCCTTTGAACACCTCTAAACAGCTTTCAAGCACAGCAGGCACAGCCACCCTTGCATCACAAGCCATTGCTTCATTGATGAGCTTGCTGTGATTAGGATTGGCCGCGGCATAGCTCCACACATCCTCTCCATGTACTGCCTCGAATGACGGGTTGCTAACACCTTGGATTCGGGCACTGAGGCCATGCCATGGTGCCAGCATTACCGGGCTACTCTCTAGCAAAATGAAAGCAGCCATGCTGTTTTTTCCGGATTTCAATAGCCGTTTGGACAAAGGTGTTTGTGCATAAACTTTGGGGCCTAATTGGGTTGCTGGTTTTTCTTTGAATATTTTGAGGTGGACTAGGACCCTCATGATGCGGTAAAGGGGAGAAGGATCACATCTTAGAGCAGATGATAGCTCTAGGAGTGTCATGGGGCTGCCATGGCTTTCAATTGCATCAGCTATTCCAAGCTCAATGGAACATTTTACCACCGCGATTTCGACAAACCCGAACACATATTTCCAGATTTCCACTTTGGCATGTTCTTCTTCTTTCTCTTCTTCTCCTAACTCTCTTTGTTTATCTTCCATCTCTTTCTGTGTTTGTCGTAGGCTCTAAGGTATCAATATATATAATTTGCTGGAAGAGATTGGAGTATAGTTACATGAACATGTGTTGAAAAGTTTAGGTAATGTATCATTTTCATTGGGATTTTTCCCAGATTCAGCCACTCAATTTTAAATGTATTTTCATGTAATGATAGACATCTTTCGCCTAATTGGCTGGAAGGATTTTGTCTTGTATACAAAATTCTTTCTTTACCACAATATTTTATGAAAAAGTTTACTACGTAGTGGACAAAAATGGTACGCATGCATTGTTTAGCTGTAGATAGTGGTATTATCATAAGAATCTTGTGTTTTTGCTGTGAGCATATAATTTTTTTTAAGTTCCTTATTTTTGTCTTTCCAATCATGTTTTGATACTCTTCTAATACTATATGTATTAGAATGTGAGCATCCAACCCGAAATCAATTGACGATGGATGGAGAGACCCAAAATATTTTATACCATTTGACAAGGCTTTAATTCTCCGATGTGAGATTCACACTCCCAATCAACACATACAACCTTTATCTAGGAGGAACAACTATTGAGCTATATGACTTGAATTGAATCAATACAGATGATACAATTTTCTGCAGAAAACTCTTATTTTGCTTCTTTCTTGCTCCTACTCTAACCGAAGTTTCCATCCATTGATTCTCTCTCGTAAGGACATTGAAAGACAAACTAATGCAGTTGGAGGGCAGTGAATTGGGTTGCTTAATGTGAAGGTTACATGTATATTTATATATATTAAAAATCAAAGCATTATGATATACCCAACAACATGCTTATTGGATACACAGATATACAGCAGCCACAACGCATTTGCTCAAACATATTATAGAACATGTGTTCAACATTTAGAAATATATCAATTTCATTGAACACTCAATTTTTAATATGCATTTCCTAAAATCGATAGTATACATTTTAATTTCTTTGATAAAGATTTTTTTAATCGAACCGTACTAGAAATTATGGAAAAGATGCCTGCAGGAACATCTAATTCATTCAATATTGTATTATTGAGTAAATTAATCTTTAGCTAGGTACATTATTGTCTAGCTGTAACATCAAATACCTACGTAGGATACATGTGTGACTTTGTTGAGGCAGATGTTTTTGGGGGTATATGTAGTAGAACAAGAAAGGAAGACTTTGTCTATTATTTACAAAGATCATGACTTTGTGGACTCAGTCAAGTATAAGGATCTTTATAATTAAGATACGGAAAAAACATGCCGTGTTTATGAAATTCTTCCATTTCAGACAACTTTTACTCTTTCCAGATCATCGACTACGCTTTATTCAAATCATAGCCAAACAAAGAATTCATTAAACATGTTTTGTTTTGAGAGTAACTCTTTTTTTTTTTTTGGTTTCTTCAATGGTGTTTTAATACCCTGCCGATCGGGTTCTGCTTTTACATGATGTTTGCCATGCATTGCTAGACCTTCCATTAATATTTCAGTCTTACTTGTGTGGAGGGCTACAAGTATTAGAACAGCATGATCTAAGCAACTCTATTATTAGCAGTATGTGAATGGTCCTGATTATGCCATATCATTGATGCTATATCAGATGCTTTAGTTAGTTAGAAGGTTAAAAGTTTGTTAAATTGTTAGCAGAGAGCTAAGCCTCTACTGGGCTGTATAATATACTGTGCTCTTGTCATGAGTTCAATCGAGTCAATACAGATGATACAGTATTCTGCAGAAAACTCTATCTGATTTTGCTTAGCTTCCATCCATTGGCTCTGTCTCGTAAGTCGTAAGGACATTGAAAGAAACTAATGGAAAGAAAGACATTGGAGTGCTGTGAATCACATATATGTATACTGGAGGGAATGATTTTCCCCACGAGAATATTCGTCAAAGATTCCTTCGTCTTCTCCGCTTCTCTTTCTCCCTGCAAATCAGATCGGAGTAAAAGGACCACACCTGGGGGGTGTTGGCCAAAGGCCCTCCGATGCCTAAGTTAGGTAAGGTATTTTAAGGAAAACCGGGTGGCCGGAGCCGTGTGTGGTGGCCGGAGCCTTGTGTAAGGGAGAGAAAGAAAGTGGTGGCTAGAGTTTGTGAGAAATGATTTCTGCAGAGTTTCAGTAGGAATTTAGACGTACCTCAGCCTTTGTATGTGGCTATGCTTTTATAATGGTCTTGGAGGCTAGGGTTTCAGAGGAATAATTCCGTAGATGGAAGGGAATTATTCCTCCCCTTTTTGGAATTGATTTGATTAATCAAGGATTTGATTTATTAGGGTAAATCAAATCCCCTAATTGTGGTAGGTATCAAATCAAATCCTAATTCAATTAGGTAACTCCTCATTTAATTGGGAATCGTGGTAATTAACCAAATCAATTTTTAACCCAATTAGGCAACGTTCAATTTAATTGGGTAATCCCCAATTAAATTGAGTAACTCCCAATCAGGTTAATTAATTCCCAATTAGGTCAAATAATCCCCAAATGGAATGAATTATTTGACCTAGGGTTTTGATTTAATTTGGTTACCACAAATGCCCCTAGCTTCTGCATGACGCGTGGTGACATGTAGGAGGTGTGAATTATCTGTTGGGTTGTCCAGCTGCAACTGGGCTTCCTTCGTGGACCTGGGCTCGCGAGTTGAGGGGATGGTGGTCTGCCTCCTGCTCAGGATGTTGAGAGATGAGCAGAATGATCCAGATTTTGATGGTCTGCCAGTTGGGCAGGAGGAGTGTTCTGCTGAATCTCCCCCAAAGAGAAAGGTTGCTGCCAAGTCTTCAAGAGATGAAGCTACTCCTTCGCAGGTAAAGAATGTGTCTCTATTGACGAAGAAGCCAAGGTTCCCTTCTACTAAGAAGACTCAAGTGGGGTCTGCTCTACCATCATCTGCTAGGGCCAAACATCTCGTGGGCGCAGATAGCACGAAGGTTGGTGGTATGAACGATGTTCGAGGTATTCTGCCCAAGCCTCATGCTGACAAGCTTGAAAACCATGATCTGCTTCATGAGGCAACTTGTGCCCGATCTAGTTCTGCCAAGCGTCAAAGAGATGTAGACATTCATTCTCAAAGTTCGAGTCGTTTGCAAGGTCAAAAGATGGAGATTGAAGCAGGAGGTTTGCTTATGATCCAGCTGTTGAGTCACGGGCACTCAAGCGTGGAGTTGATTCAGTATCATTGACTCATTTGAAAGTAAGGTTGGCGGAGGCTAAGAAGATGAGAGAGTCATTTGCCTGGGCGAAGAGTTCTTTTTCAGCGTCGGCGGTTGATCCGAAGGCGAACAAGTCTAGCCCTGTAGGGGATGCGTGTGTGTTTGATCTGCTCAAGACGAATTTCGTATAAAACCCGTTCTTCTGTGCTGAGTTGGTCGATCACATCTGTCAGGCCGGCGATCTTGGCACATTCTCGAGCCTTTCCTTGGAAAAACAAAGGGAAGCCACATTTCATTTGCTTCAAAAAGGAGTGGTTCTTGTTGCTAAAACTATCTGAAACTCGTCTGCTGTTGCCCTCTCTTCTACCGCTGGCTTGGTTAGTTAAAAAGATGTCTACTTCCATTTTGAGCACAAGAGTGGATGCAGTAGATGAGATGATGGTAGATGCTATGGAGCAGGCAGATCAGGGTGCTGAAGGCATAATTGATCAGGCGAATGTCGAAGAGGCTGTAACTCAGAGGTGTCCTGCTGGCGCCTCGAAGTAGATGAAGTTTTCTTTATTTCTTTTCATCTTTTGTAGTATGCTTTCTTATTTAGAACAAATGGTCGTTTTTAACCTTCTTCCGTTTGTTGAACTTGGCCGGTTGGTTAGCTTGCTATGGAAATTTAGTTATTTTTTCAACTTCAATTTGCATATCGACTTGTGAACTGCTTGAGTAACCAGCCAATTGTGTGTTTCCCTTAGGAAATTTATGAGTGACAGGGTTCCCCTTGAGGGATTCTGAGCGTATTCTGCACATCATGTAGGATGTTTTTCCCTTAGAAGGTTGGTGAGTGCCAGGGTCCCCCTTGAGGGACTCCGGGCGTGTTCTGCACATTCATTCCTTAGAAAGTTGGCGAGTGCCAGGGCTCCCTTTAAGAGGCTCCAGGTGTGTCCTGCACATCCCTTAGGATGGTTTCCTTTAGAAAGTTGGCGAGTGCCAGGGCCCCCCTTAAGAGGCTCCGGGCGTGTCCTGCACATCCCTTAGGATGGTTTCCCTTAGAAAGTTGGCGAGTGCCAGGGCCCCCCTTAAGAGGCTCCGGGCGTGTTCTGCACATTCCTTAGGATGGCTTCCCTTAGGAAGTTGGTGAGTGCTAGGGCCCCCCTTAAGAGGCTCCCGGCGTGTTCTGCACATCCCTTAGGATGGTTTCCCTTAGGAAGTTGGATAGTGCCAGGGCCTCCCTTAGGAGGCTCCGGGCGTGTCCTGCACATCCCTTAGGATGATTTCCCTTAAGAAGTTGGCGAGTGCCAGAGCCCCCCTTAAGAGGCTCCAGGCGTGTTCTGCACATTCCTTAGGATGGCTTCCCTTAGGAAGTTGGTGAGTGCTAGGGCCCCCCTTAAGAGGCTCCCGACGTGTTCTGCACATCCCTTAGGATGGTTTCCCTTAGGAAGTTGGCGAGTGTCAGGGCCCCCCTTAAGAGGCTTTGCGCGTGTCCTGCACATCCCTTAGGATGGTTTCCCTTAGGAAGTTGACGAGTGCCAGGGCCTCCCTTAAGAGGCTCCGGGCATGTCCTGCACATCTCTTATGATGGTTTCCTTTAGGAAGTTGGCGAGTGTCAGGGCCCCCCTTAAGGGGCTCCGGGCATGTTCTGCACATCCCTTAGGATGCCTTGGTCGTCGCCCTGCGTCTCCCGAAGGATGCTGCTTATGGGCAACTGTGTATCTATCCTGCCTCCCTTAGGAAATGGATAGGAACCTGGATACTTCCCGCAGAAGGCATGGAGACCTCATTTTAAGAAATTTCTGGCGCACCCTGCGTCTCCCATAAGACGCTTTTTACGGGCTGCGTCTCCCGAAGGACGCTTTGGTCGTCGCCCTGCGTCTCCCTTAGGACGCTGTTTATGGGCAACTGCGTGTCTATCTTGCCTCCCTTAGGAAACAGATAGGAACCTAGATACTTCCCGCAGAAGGCATGGAGACCTCCTTTTAAGAAATTCCTGGCGCACCCTGCGTCTCCCTTAGGACGCTTTTTACGGGCTGCGTCTCCCGAATGACGCTTTGGTCGTCGCCCTGCGTCTCCCTTAGGACGCTGCTTATGGGTGACTGTTTTGCTGTG